GGTAATACACAAACTTGTCTCTGCGCTTAATTAATTGAGCAATTAATCATTACGTCATAAGAAATGTGGGGGTGGGGGGTGGACGTATATCTCCATCATTCTTAACTTCGGAGTTATACGGAGTTTCGTGGTTAGCTTCACGTTCCAGCCGCTTTACCCCCGGGGAAGGAGCTCACTGTGCCCATTGGACAGGAGGCTGAGTGTGCCCCAGAGCCGGTCCCCACTCTGTCGGGTAGAGAAAAATCTCTTCCTCTGCCGAAAATCGAACCAAGGCAGTCTAGCACCTAGCCCATCGCTGTACCGTCTGGGCTAACTGGGCTTCTCGCAGACATTTTTTGTTTGTGATATATATCAATCTTCACCTCAACTGAAACCTCAAATCTAATATGTAAACTATAGAGAGGGAATACTAAATAGACTCCTGAATATTGAGGCAGTATAGTGCTCCGAAACGTCTGTACTCATCTGTCAGATTATATGGTGTTTTAGACCGAAATAAGGACCGCCTCTGTGGTCTAGTGGTTAGAGTTCCTGGCTACAGATCCTGAGGTCCCGGGTTAGATTCCCGGCGCTACCAGATCTTCTGAGAAGTAGTGGGGCTGGAACGGGGTCCACTCAGCCTGGTGAGCATAAGTGAGGAGCTATTTCAAGGAAATAGCGGCTGCGGTCTAGAAAACCGAAATTAACGGCCGTGGGGATTCGTTACGCTGACCACGTGAAACCCACTATCCGCTAAGTTGGCACTAACTTTACCGACAAGCGGCGGTCGCTCTGAAGGTATAGTCCGATTGCGGACTACAGGCCAAGGAGATAAGAACGAAATAAAATTTCGTCTTCCAGCTCAGGTGTTTGTTCTAAGTGGAGATGAGTCAATCTTCCCATATAAGAGTACACTCTTAAGGGTAACAGTTGCAATGAATAGAGATTGCCAGATCATTAACTAAAGATGGGTGTAAGCAAACGAATTTAGACCATATTGCAGTGACATGTCCTAACTAACTAACTAACTTGGTAACTGGACATAACATCAGGGGCAGAGTAATTCCTAAGAAGCTAACAGTTTTGCAGCAGGTCAAGAAATTCCCCACTCTTTACGAAACTCGAAAGATGCGTTCAGCACAGAGCCAATCCAGCCAACTGTCTGGTACTGAAAAATGCGGCAGCTGCTTCACCTGCAGAACGAATCATGACGTCAATCGCCACGATGTGTCCACCGGCCTGCAGAAGCTCCAACGAAAAACTGCAACCCCTCCCTCACAGCGTGCCCCGTGATATGCAACCCCCCCCCCCCACAGATATCCATCATCAAGCTTTGTGACGCTCCAGAGACCCACAAACCATCCACCGATCATAAGTAACAGTCATATCGCTAGGGGGTGAAATATCGCCTGCTTTAAGCATGTCTTTCGTTTCAGATCAACATCTCACCCCATCTGTATGTAGGGGTGACCAGGTTCAACGCACAATTTTACCAAATGGTGTGGCTAACATTAAGTGGAATAGCTCAGTTGGTACTGAGACGGATTATGGACTGAACGGTCGGGGTTCGATTCCCGATGAGAAGTTTCTCTATTCCTCAGCGTCAAGACCGGCTCTGGGGCCCACGAAGCCTCATATCCGATGGGTACCGGGGACTCTTTCTTCCCCGGGAGTAAAGTGATCGTGCCTGAAGCTGATCCACTCATCTCCATCTAGTGCCGAGGTCAAGAATGGTGGATCTGCACCTCCATTCCCCTATGCGTGTTCATGGTATAGTGCTTAATCGTTTAAATTGGTCAGCCAACATAACATAAAAGTATCTTCAAAATGAAGGCAAATAAATACTACGGTATCCGTGGTCTGTAGTCCGCAAGCGAACTATACCAACCGAGTGACCGCCGCTTGTCGGCGAATAATGCCACATTTTCACCAAATAAACTTGTACAGACGTCAGCACTAAGGTAACGGGCAATATGATGGCAGTTTTTAAAATTACTTGGGGTCACCCGTTAATATGAAATTACCTTCCCGTTGAGGTCACTGGATTTTTCAATTTACCTAAACATTCCAGCCACACTACGGCGCTGTGGTAGACTCAGCCTCTAACAGAAATGAGTAACAGGAATCTCTCTGGGGGTAAAGAGCGCCCGGCGCATAAGCTGACAACCTTACCGCTATCTGGTGAGCCGATTATCTAAAGAAAATGTGGAAGCCTCGACGTCTCACAACCCTATTGGCCTTCACGGCCTGTTAGAAGGATAGATTTACTTTATTTTTTACCCTCCTCTGACCTCTCTAAGTTCCCTGCATATAATATTTGTATAAAAATTGTCCTTGTTTACATTTCTTTCAAGATAATCTCTTGAAACATATCAGCTAGTCCCCTTCGGTTCGAGAACCACAGTTTAACAACTATTTCTCTACGTAGGTAAGTAAGCAGCACAGGCTACTCATAAAACGACCTCGATGGAGGCATCGGGCTCCTCCGAATAGCTGCTACGTACCCACCAAACTACATTGCATCACATCTCAGAAGAAGGTAAACCATACCCGTCAAATTGGGCAAAGCGTTGTATGATTCTTGTCCACGTTTAATGCGCCGTGTAAAACGTGGTTTAAAGCTTATTGCAATAACAGCCTGCATCCATTACGCGTATTTAAAAAAACTGTAAATTGTCGCAACTTTGCTACTGTTTATCTTTACTTAATGTTCACAATGAAAAGGAATTCGAGCAAGTTCTATGTTATCAGATACATTGCAGTTTAGAACTCATTCAACAGCAGATTTCATCCATTTTATTTAAGAAATGTACACTGCTGTAGTTGAGATTGTCAGATATGACATAGCTTCATCTTTATTCAAGAAAATGTGCCATATTCTAGAAGGGTATGAGAGTGTTTGATTGTTCTAGCAAAGTAGTTTCTTGCAAATACGTATCATGTTCACGAGAACCGTAACCTATAATTACAACAGGCATGTGGGCAAGTGAATAAATGTATCAAGTGATGGGCCATTTTCAGTATGTTACAACACTTTACAAATAATCGGTGTTTCTTGTAACGTGCATTTCTAACATTCATTAAGAAAACGCTTGCAATTACACGGTGCCATTTCCCAGTTAAACTAATAAGGAAGATTAGAAGAAGGATTCACTCACATGTAAGAAGATCCTGAAATTCCACACCGGCCGTTCTTAATCATGCATATCACATTAACGTAAACAACAGACATGTAGAAAGGCCTTTTTCTTTTCGTTATCTTCTATACCGTTCTATATTCCGCACTACAGACCATGTTTTACACACACACACGTACACGCACACGTACATCACAATCCCGCCATCTGCAGAGCATGTCGTCGCCTTCCCGCCTAGTATGCGAAACAGCTGAACCATCTAGCGACAATTGCATAAACTACCAACACCAGTGAATTCGCGATCATACTGCCACCTGAACGAATGATGTGGAACTTACGACGTTGTCATGTAGGAGACCCTCTAACGCCCAAAAAGGCCGAGCAATAGCTCAAGCGGTTAGTCGCTGGCTTTCCAGCGCGGCGGCCCGGGTTCGATGCCGGGGTCTGGTCAAGTGGGATTTGTGGTGGACAAAGTGGCGCTGGGGCAGGTTTCCTCCGAGTACTTCGGTTTCCCCTGCCAATCTTCATTCCACCAATTGCTCCACATTCACCCTCTCCTATCATCTGGGGCTGGTACAATAGGCCAGAAGCGGCCGCAGTACAAGGGACTTAGTGCCACCCCACTAGAAATAAAAAAAAAGGCCCGAAAAGGAACGAACGAACATCGGAGTTGAGTCCTCGAGACGCCATTAATTGCCCAGCTACACAGTAACTACCCAATATTACATAAAACCAGAAAGTTCATTACTATATAACAAAAACCCTCCACTGGTCCCTATCCTCAGCCAAACGAATCTAGTCCATACCATCTTAATATTGTCATTCCACCTACGCCTTCGTCGTCCTAATGGTCTCTTTCCTCCTGGACTTACCACCAAAATTCTATACGCATTCCTTTTCTCTCCATGAGTGCTACATGCCTAGCCCATATTAACCCCCCTCCCCACTGCTTAATCCTTCTAATTGTATTTGACGAAGAGTACAAGTTATGAAGCATCTCATTATGGAGTTTCCCCAGCCTCCTGTTATTTTATCTCTCTTCTGTCCAAGTATTCTTCTCAGCACACATTTCTCAAACAACAAAGAAAAAACTAAACAAATTCCGTGGTTTTAGTCCGCAAAACAAAATATACCGACCGAGCGACCGCCCCTTGTCGAATAAAATCCTAGAGGTGTTACTGCTACATGAACCCGGTAAGTATGTCGCACTAGAAACCGACAAACTAGAACCGAAAAACTGTCTAAAAATGTGCAGTAGCCTATGCTTGTTAGAATATTTTCTGTCAAGATTATTTTACTTAGCCCATTAAAGATGATGCAATGATGCCATGGGTACTATTACTCTGTGGGCGCTACAATCCATGGCCTCTGTTTTACAGTTTCTTAATCATATAGACAGAGTGACCATGGGTTTGCGATGTTTACGTATTTATTTAACGACGCTATCAGTAACTCGGCTTATGTAGCAATGAATGATTGGATGATAATGAACAATGAAATTGAAAATACGCGGAAGGAAGCAGTTGTGACCTAATTTACGGTATTATCCCGTCATATCCTTGGAGACAATGAGGTATAACCACGAAAACCTGAGTCAGGATAGTGGGTGTATTGGTCGAAATTCGAACCGAGCACCTCGCATGTGCAAGCCAAAGCATTACCACTTGCATCAACTTCCTCCGTGCTGCATGCGCTGTGTACCCATATCATAGATCATTCGCACGTCGATCATAACACATGAGATGTGCTGGAACCTAGCGAGCAAAGCGGTGACTAACAGCGGTAGCAGTGAATAGTGGCGCTCCTACGGTGAGATGTGGAACCACTTTGAATGACGTACTGCCTTTCTATTGTGTATTCCTGGGGACTTTGAACTTGTTTGTAGCCGCCAGGCATTACAATAAAAAAAAAATGAATCAGAAAGAGAGATATAGACGAAGGACATGAGATAAGAGAGAAAGAGACGGCGAAATAATTGTTCTGGTTGTATGGTGAGGAGGTGGGGAACTTCACCTGAGCGGAAAGTGGCAACACACAGCATTACATCGCCGGTGGGGTAGCAAAGCAGCTGAACAACTCCAGTACCTTGTACCGCACACCGATCCGTGTAGTGCAGATTATAAAAGCAGGTTACCCGTGTTTCCAAGGTGACATATCAAAGCTAGCGTATCGTTAGCCAAACTTTTATTGTTAACCGCTACGAAACAAGTGGCAGAACTGTAACTGCGACAGCAAGTGATACTGTTCATTGTGAAACAATGTTCGCGTCATTATCGTCCATATATAACTAGCCGTCAAAGTGCATGTGGTTATGTGGGAGTGGAGTGATGTTACGAGTGAAGTGCCGCAGAGGAAGCTGAAACTGACACCAGAACAACGTCCGTAAAAGCAGTTTCCAAGGGCAACAGCCATAACGATGGCATCAGACAGGTTTCACAAGTAAGCCACTTCTTTTTAACAGACATAATTTGTGAAAATGAGAAACCAGTTTCCTTCATACTTCGGGTAATCGTTTCCGGGGCTTGGCCCCAGCTGTATGGCGGGCACACGCCATGAATGAGATTCGAGGTTCCGACTGCGGTAACTGTCTTCTGGGATGTTACACCGTGTACTCTGGTAGAAGTTTTCGGGCGTTTCGGAGGAACGTATAACCTCAATCTTCAGGGTCAAACAGTAAACCAATCAAGCTAAACAACAGTGTTATATTGTTGTGATTTATATACAATACTGCCAATATAAAGCAAAAGGAAAATTTGAGTCTGGGGCTGAGCACCGCGCTATAACGGCTCGTGGGTTGCTCAAAGGTAATGCTCCATCGTGATTTAGATAAGTTGGAAGTTTCACGCTCTGCCGTATTATGACCTCCATAGGGACTGTATAAGAGGCTGAGGGAGGTTCAGATCTATTCTGGAAGTCGTGAAAAGTACCAGTGTCCTAAGTAGGACTTAAACAGTTTAAAACTAAAATCCATTGCATATATGTACTTACATGTCCAAAGTAGACAGGTGTCTGCGTAAAAGAAACATCTTCAGGGTCACGAGCATTCGTTCTTGTTAAGTAGGTCTGTAGTCTAAGATGAGTTATGTACGGACTGTAATTAGCCCTACATATAGCTAATTTGCAATAGTTCTGCGGAAGAAGTTAGTTGAAGCGGCAATGCTTCTGGCTTGTATTCGATTCTGGGCCGTTAGGCTGGAATGCCGACTGGCCTTATAGATTTCCCGTGCCCTTCCTCAGTCCCTCCAGGCAAATGCCGGGTAATGCCTCATATTAAGCAACAAATTCTTCCTTCTGCAACATTCCCCATTCATGTCAATAGCAATCATTTTATTTGATGGCGCCCTATACACATTGAACTACTGACAACGTCGTTGAATAAACAATAAATAAATATATGAATAAAATAAAGTACGAATATAAATATTACATTCAATAAATAACTGAGTTTTCGTTTTTGTTTTGCTTTCAGTGACGAAACATTTTGTGTTGAACATTGTTATGTTCTTTTTGGTGGTTCGCTAGCTAAGTAAATTACGACTACTTTTCCTTCAGTACGACCGTCTCTGTGGTCTAGTGGTCAGAGTTCCTGGCGACAGATCCAGAGGTCCCGGTTTCGATTACCGGCGCTACCAGATTTTCTGAAAAGTAGTGCGTCAGAACGGGGTCCACTCAGCCTCCTGAGGATAACTGAGAAGCTGTTTCAAGGAGATAGCGGCTCCGGTCTAGAAAACCGAGATTAACTACCGTGGGGATCCGTTGCGCTGACCACGTGACACCCTCTATCCGCAAAAGCTGGCACTAACTTCGCCGACAAGCGGGGATCGCTCGGTCGGTATAGTTCGCTTGTGGACTACGGCCCACAGAGTTCGTTTTTTTGTTTTTGCTTTTCTTCAGTTCAGAAATATTTCATATTTTGGTCTCTCTTAAACCAGTAGGCTGACGAAACTGCACGTCGACAAGCTTCGTAATTAGTATTCCACGCCAAATGTTACTAGAATGATCAAATAAAAAAGAATAGGATTGGCACAGTATATAGCAGGCATAAAAGCGATGAGGAAATCAGTACAAGTGTTTGGTCAGAATAACCGAATGGAAGAGAACGCCTGAAGACCTAATTGCAGATGATTTGGTGATATTAACATGGATATTAAGTAAATAGAGTGGGCTGTTGTAGACTGGATTTATCTGGCTATGGAGTGCCCAGAAACGACTTCACGTGAACAAGACAATGCATCCTCGGGGTCTGTTGAAGGACGGAATTTCTTGATAAGGACTGTTACCGCAAGAGTTCAGTTGAGGGGCAAAAAAATCTCTGGTCGTGGGCCTCAAGGGGCCTGATGCCAAGACGAACTGATTGGCGATAAATCGCCAGTCGTAAAGTAACTCTGACTCTGACTCTGACTCTGACTCTGATTCTGACTGACTGCTCGAGAAAATTCGTCAGGAAGACCTCGTTCAAGGCAGTTCAATGGTTGATGTGTTAGTGTAATAACGAATTGTAGTTACGACGTGGAAATTATCGAATGAATCGAGTCATCGAATCCGGAACCGATTATTTACTGTCGCGTTACCAACATACACGTTACAATAGATTCAGTGTGGTGATTCAATATATGACGCCTCTTCGATTTAAATACACGTAGCACATAGATGCGTTAATGTTTGTATGTAAATGGACTTAATAAGGCGTTAGACTTGCTATCAATGATTAGGATTTGCAGATTCTGATATTTACTGTCCAGTGTAAAGCAGGGTATCAGTCCCCAGAACATCCCTGTACTATTTCATCGGCACGTGAACCAAAATGGAGTGATAACTTCTGTGACAGGCAGTCTTAGATAGTCTCTAGTGAAATCTGTGTCCGGGATACGGACGTTTTAACTTGTATTACACTATATCTGCATCTATTTTTTACTTCAAGGTTATTGGCAAGGCTAAATAAACGCATGGGTGAAGATATTCATTGTATTGCTTCGGGAGGAAATTGTGTTGCGCCGTAATTACACGAGTAATCGCGCGCCTTAAAGAGAATGCTGCTCGGGCCACGCCTGGGGGCGTGCCATCACCTTCTTCTGTTACCCTGGGATCAGAATGCTTTCTTTCACGCTTATTTTTTGCTTGAATTATTCTCATATCCTGAAGGTGGAGGCGACATATTCCTCCGAAATGTTGGTTGAGTTTCAACGGTGTAGACGGCGGTATATCCCAGAAGACAGAACTCTTCATAACTACCGCTGTGAGAACCTCAAAGCCTTCCGTAGCATGAACCCTCGTGAGGCTTCCATTTTCAACTGTTACGTCACTCTTGAGACGCACATAGTCGATCAACAGGTCAAGGAATTCGTCACTCTGTACGGGATCTGAAAGGTCATTAACATGTTTACAAAAGTTCACCACTGTATCACATCCTGAGTCAGGTGAATCCTGTTCACATCCTCAAATACGGCAATATTAACATTATACACCCATCTACAGTGTGCCCGCAGTAGCGTAGGCACTATGCTAGAAGCCGGAAAGTTGCGGGTTCGATTCCCAGTGAGGTCATTGCATTTTAATTGTCCTAATCCTTGTAGCCGCACTATGGTCCTGGGGTCGAATCAGCCTCTAACAGAAGTGAGTACCAGGAATCATCCTGGGGATAAAGAGTGGCCGTCGTGTTAGGCTGACAACCTCACCGACATCTGTGAGCCGATTGTCTAGAAAATGTAGGAGCCTCGACCTCTCACAGCCCTATGAGCCCTCATGGCCTGTTACAGGGATAGCTTTACTTTACGTTTTACACCCATCCACAATTGTTTCTCCAGTGGTGTCTTCTTTTTATGTTTCCAGTTAAAATTCTGTATGCCTTTCTCATCTCATCTCTCTTCTTCTTCTTCTTCTTCTTCTTCTTCTTCTTCTTCTTCTTCCCAATTCACCCCCCCTCCGGTTTGATTATCCTACTGAGTTTCTGTGAAGAATACACGTTCCTTGCTAACAATTTGTGACGAACTGTGAATTTGAGAAAGTATGAACAAAGCACGACGGAGAGATCTCTATTTCAGTATCCAAATGAATGCACATCAAACTAGGAGAAGTATTTAAACCGAAAGTTAAAGATTTCCATAAGGTATGACTTGTGCAACTTTTATATTTGAGCTCTATCATCTTTTGAATTCGCAATTTGCGAGGCAGTTAACCTTTGGCTTTGATACACACTACACAAAACCTGCTTGCATCAGAATCACACGGAACAAGGAGTTTGGAGGCCTATATCGAACTGCTGCAGCTGGTTCATGTTCTTAGTTTACGCTCCTTCTTTCCTTCCTGATATTTTCCTGCCACTGGTCCATTAAAGCAAGTGGGACTTTAGGCCGCGCCATAGCTCAAGCGGTTAGTCGCTGGCTTCCCACCTCGGCGGCCCGGGTTCGATCCCGGAGTCTGGTCAAGTGGGATTTGTGGTGGAAAAAGTGGCGCTGGGGCACGTTTTCTTCGAGTACTTCGGTTTCCCCTGCTAATCTTCATTCCACCAGCTGCTCCACAATCACCCTCACCTATCATCTGGGGCTGGTACAATAGGCCAGAAGTGGCCGCAGTTCAAGGGACTTAGTCCCACCCCACTAGCTATAAAAAAAAATTGGACTTTATGGTTGGCTCGGTGGACATGAGGTCTGGAAGTTCAGAACTCCAAATACTTATTAGCTTAACGCTGAAATATACAGAATATACAGAACTGTAAAATACAGTCCTTGGCTGTACTGCGATTTTTATGTTTCGACAAAATGAACTGTGGGACGCACAATGCAGAAGATTGGAGTCTCTCTGCAGAATTTTCGGGCAGTTGATTTCGTTTCCTTTTTGTGGCGGGAATGTTCTTTCTGGGATAAATAGAACGAATTATATTAAAAAATGGAATTGTAAGAAAAGAAAAGAATAAATATTAAGGTACATTATTTTGTGCCTTGTTCTTTTTGCCTTCCATTTGCGATTTAAAACTATTCCGTTTATCAAATGTAATTTTATCTCGATTTTGACTATATCCTTGGAACGTGAACATCTTTTCGGCATGTTCCCATTTATCCCAGGGCTGGTTTCAGGCTGTTTTTATTGTACCTTATTCTGTTATTGGACATCAGTGTGTTACTGAACCGCTGCTGCCAAATTTAGTTTAGTCACGTTCTAGGATTACATTACGATATAAGTTTGTATTCGGATGTACAAGTAGATACTGACAGCCATAGGTAACTTGCGCAGTTGATTCGACAGGATCTCAGCTGTTCGATGAAAGTCCCCACCGATTCAGCAAACACGACTGGTTTTCAATGTCTTTGGTTTCAAGGACCCAGTATAGATTTCAGAGTACCAGCTGTCATTTGCGAAGATGTCGCCTTCAGTTTAACGAACAGGTTTGAAAGGAAAAAGGGCCCATCTCTGGAAACAATTAGCCTAATGCAGGTTTCGGA